CCAGGTCCCACCTCCAGGTAGAGCTGTAAACAAGTGGTACCACGAACAGAGACCTGAACTTTGCTGTGACATAAGAGAAGGGGATCCTCACAGAAATGACTCTACTGTGAATTCCTCTCTGGTTCAATCCAGCCTTGGGGCATCAAGGACAACTCCAGAGGGCATGGAGACAATGGACATCACCAGAAAGATAGTAAACTTCCAGTCAAAGGACTAAAGGAGACACTGACCTTATCATCAGAAGTCAAATCTACCCACCTGGGGCTGATTCAAGGCTCTATTCACCAAGGAAGAAGTTATGTTATGAAACACAGAGCCCTTTGTCACCTGGGACTCGCTTTCTGCTGATAGTAGCTGTTTTAACCTGTGTATCTGCAGTGAGTGTCTCTGAGAACATGTATTGGTTTAATATTCTTCATTTTCCTTTGCTTCAACTTGTAGATTGGAAGAGTTCAGCACGTGTTATCCTTAAAATGACAATGTGTTTATGGCCAGAACTTGAGACTATAATAGACTCATTCATTCATTCATCTGTAAAAAAGACTGTGCTTAATTTTTCCCTGTGAGTTGTTATCATTTCTCAGTTGCATAGTATATCATAACCTTTGTGTTCTTATTAAAGGGCAAATATGGGCATACTTCATACAAGGTAGCAGAACTTCTAATCATATGGGTGGGTCTCTTTTCAGTCTATTTTCTAGATTTTCTATTCAATTTAATGATGTAACCAACTGTACTGGATATATTTCGGAATCCCTGTTTTTGGTGGAAGAGTATTACACACAATGTGTCCACAATTTTAATACTACAATTTGCTTGCTTATAGAATATTCACACATCAAATGACAATTAGCTTTATCTACAACATCTCAAATCAAAACTATTCTGGATATCTTGCATTTTTAAAAAAAGGCGGGGGAAGGGGGTGTTGAGAAATGATCCAAGAATGGAGTCCTGTGAGGATACTTCTGAGTGCTTGTGAGAAAACTCCCCAAAACCAAGACAAGAGTCTTGTGATCTTAGTTTCTTCAAGAACACAGAATTGACAGAATTGTTCTCAGATTGTTTTCATGGTCCTCCCAGGTATAGTGGACAGGAGTGGGTTTACTTCAGATCATTCATTACATCTGGCTATTGCATTTGTTTCTATGCCCCTGTGGAAAACACATGTTTTTGCTGCATGCGGTTTGTCCCCCATGTGTGGCCTTCCTGCATGATTGCACACTTAACTCCTGTGACTCCTTTAACTCTTAGAGTGTAAATTGTCTGAGTCTCTGAGTAAAGTTGGCTATTGCATGAGTCTTTAGTCTGCCTCATTTATATGCTCTAGTTTCCCAGGTCCTGCTGCTTCTAAAGTTGTAAACAGTACTTCACTGTGGCCATAAAAAACATACAAAAAATTGAAGCAGTTTTTATAAAGGTGTTGCATTTATTTTTCAATATATTTATTTTGAAATAATTTTCTATAAAATGACTATTATCCCCAGATACTATTCATTTGACTAACCTTGAATGACTTCAAATTTCCTAGAATTTGATGTTTATATTACAAATTACTTGATTAAAATAATAGATTTTGACTTTATTTTTAAGTAAAGAGCTAAAACAATAATAAATATTTTCATTAGGTGGTAAAATAGAAATTTAGCATTTTTTTTGAGACATGATTTCTCCTCTGTGGCTTTGGAGGCTGTCCTGGAACTAGGTCTTGTAGACCAGGCTGGTCTCCAACTCACAGAGATTGGTCTGCCTCTGCCTCACAAGTGCTGGGATTAAAGGTGTGTGCCACTACCGCCCGGCAGAAAATTAGCATGTTAGGCAAGGGCTTTAGTTGAGTCAACACTCGTTCTTGTATAGTTTCAGTCAAAACTAAAGGAGTTACCAGTTAATGATCTGTTTATAGATATGTACTTTGTAATAATTTTATTTCTTTCTTAGTTTTTCAATTGCAGCACACAGGAAAAGAACATAAAACACGATGGGCTATCCAATATGAGTTTGTTGCTACTGGAAAGGAAGATTTGTACCTAGAAATATAAAACTACATGCTTTTAGTTGACATTTAGCAGAGTAATATAAAAAGCAGTAAATATTATGCAATCAAGCTTAAAATATTTGCAAGCTATATTTTATGTGCTTAAAGTGCTATGTCTTAAAAACTTCAATGAATTTGGATACATGGTTTTAATTACGATCCTTTTGTGACTAATTACTTTTCTCTCCATCTTCACCTTTATTCAATCTTTATTTTCTTCTGTGGTATCACCTATATTGCACCAGTGATGGTGGTTGTAAGCGTGTTGAAATGATTCATCCTTTGACAGTATTGTTGCTGTTTGAGTGAAAGCATCCAATGTTTGGCAAACATTTAGACCGCCTAAAAGTTAGGGTTTTGTGTGTGTGTGTGTGTGTGTAATCATTAGTTCCTTGTGTGTGTGAATATGTGTACTATTATCTATGTGGTATATTTCCATGTACAAGTGTGCATATGTGTGTTTATGCTTGTGTGTAAACACATGGAAAACAGAGGTTGACATCAGTTGTCTTCCATGGTCTGTCATCCTACTTATTGTTCCTTATTTGTGGTTATTGTCCAGGTTTTTTATGTTTTTGAGACAGGGTCTCTTACGGAATCTGGAACTCATTGATTAGACTAGACTGGATAGTCAATGGGCTCCAGGAATCCATCTGTCTCCGATTCCCCTCTTCCCACCATGCTGGGTTATGACAGTGCTTCCATGTGCAGCCTTTTGTGTAGGCACTGAGGAACTTAGAGAATCCGAGGACTATATGTAATATCTCTTAAGTATCATTTGCTCTTGCTTGGGCAATTTAGAATATAAAATAAAATATTATTATAAGGGATTTAAAATATGTCTTAATAATAATGTGAATTCTAAACATTTTTCTACCTTTGTGAAATCACACTGCTTATAGAAAATAATTCAGTAATCTGAGGTTCAGCCAGTCAATTTAATAATTGGAGTACAAATGGCTCATAACATTTTGTGAGAGTTTCAATTCCTTTAATTCCTCTGGGTTATTACAAATAAAGTTTAAATATGAGAGAAGAATCAAGTACTTCATAAGTATAACAAAAACTCTCTACCTTCCTGATTCCTTCCTGAGCTATGAGGTTTCCATTTGTATTATAAAGGACAGTTGAAACTAGCACAGGCCAATTGGACCTGGATTCTCAGAGCTCTGTAACTTGATCCTTCAATGTGGATGCAGTAAGGAAGAGAGAGGAAAGGGGGCAATGGTGGGGATGGCTATTTGACCAACCTTAGAAAAAGATCATATATGAGGATAACCTCACAATGATGTGATCCAAGCCACAGTTCAGCATTAATTTCTACCAGCAAATATAGGCATGGTATCACTTGAAAGCCTTAAGGAACCCTTCCAGGGAAGCCTACACTTTCTAAGAATATGAATTTACCAATTGAAATGATGTGGACTATCAAGGCATTTGGAAAGAGTCCAATAGTTTGTGAAATCATGTGAAGATCTTGGGTAACTTGGACTACAGTCCTTTAACTAAATTTCAGCAGAACATAGGGATTTGAGAGCCGGGCTATGGGAGTTTTTCTTGTTCAAATAACTTACTCTAAAATGAATTAGTTTGTAAATGTCAGTATGTTTTTAAAATAATGTTTTCATCCATTCAAATAGACTAACTGTACTGCATGGTTTATACTATAACTTGAGTAGATCTTATAAGTTGAAAGCATACTTATACAAAGACTATTTTATGTTAGATTTAAAGTTGCTATTACTAATGATTCAGTATTACCACTTGAATTGAGTTGAGTTCTGTGGCTAGAAGTTAAAAGGGTATTATTCTTCATCTGAAATCTCAGCTTGTAAAATGTTACAGCCTTGGCCAGGAGCTTTGGTACAAATATATACATTAAGGAAACAGCTGAGTCAGCAGGTTGCAAAGGAAAATTTATGATTATATAATTTCTTTTTATGCTTCAACAGTGAAAAAATAAAGCTACTGGAAGCAAACAAAACTGAAAAGGGCGTGTCTAAGACACTGAGATATGTTAATTAGAAATTCTATTCTTGACAGCCAAGAGATTTACAGGACAATATTTCCACCAGACTTACACTATCAAATGACCTTTACAAGTTGTGGGTTTCAACAGTGAACATAATTTTCTGAGGCTACACTTTTGACCTTGAAATTGTAACTTGCTCTTGAATGTCTTTTAGCAAAGTTACAAAGTCGCTGGTTACCCAACAGAACTTATCTAAAATTAGTAATAGTGTATATTTAAATTGTTATATTGTATAATCCTTACTTTAATTGTTTGGTATCCAAGGGCAGGTAAGAGGCTATTGCTCCATGGATTGCCTTCCCTTATTGCATAAGTCTCCCAGCTTTCTTTTTGCAGGATGTCCCTCAACAGAAGCTTAAGCTGACGAAAGAGCTGCATTGTACTGCAGCTGCTAGCCTTGCTACAGCTCTCTGGCTGAGGATTCAGCTGAGCTCAACAGAAATATGCAAGGCCAGTACACTGGTCCAAGGGAAGGAAAGCTTTACACAGAAACTGTAACAGGGTAAGCTACAATTTGCTGGCCCCTCCTGTATTTGATATTTTCCTTATTTGCATTGCTCCTTTCCATCATTAAGCAACTATGGTGACAGAATGACCTTACATCTTAAGTTGCTGGTTCTGTAGCTTTCTCCTTCACATTGTATTTAAATGAACTCCAACACACCTCATTCTACTTGAAGATACCAATTGCAGTTAAAGTTAACCACACCAACTCTCAGTACTCTGATGGTCTTAAGATTCCCAACTTGGATTGTTCCCAAGTTACAATGCCCCTCTCCCCAATGTATTATCATCCACGCACCAGGAGCATGTTGACTGATTAGCAGAAAGGGAAAGAAAAAGTTCATGCAGCAGGATAGACATGAAGGAACACCACACATCTCACTGTAATCCATGTGACGCTCACTTGAGAACTTGTGCGTTCTTTCTTACCTTGGATGTGAATAACTCTGTCTTGATCCGGAGTGTAGCTGTCTGAATGGTGATCAGCCCAACAGACTGAAACCAGCACCAGAAGAAGGAGACTCTTCATCCTTGTAGCTCAGCCCCTTCTCCACTGTGAGGATCACATACAAAGAGGCTTGAGAAATTTGGAACCCTTTGGAGTGTTGCACTGCACAAATTATTACCGCCTTATCATCACAGAATGGGTCTGTAAAAATATTTAACCCAATCTGTTCAGAAAGTTACTGTAACAGCCCTTGAGAGCTGACGACTGAGCTTTGACAAATTTCAGTTCCTCTTAGGCAGCCAGAGTCCAAACAGTGTTTAACTCTGTCTTTGCAGAATTGTGAATCTGGAAATTTAAAACACTGTGCCTTTGGCATGGAGACTTCCAGAGAGTTGAAGGAGCTTTAGTAAAGAGGCAAACACCCTTAAAACATTAACCCCCTGAGTTTGGAGTATAAGTTAATGAAGAGCAATTTGGCACATCTATTTATGAAGAGTAATTCAGCCAGCTTAATTAGGAACTGAATCTTAGACCAGAGCAAATAAAGGATATTTGCATGAGTTGTGACATCATTGCACATGTGGCTTCCTTAGCAGGTTAGATTTACTTGTTCTAAATAGAAAAGATGATGGAGAAAAAAAAACAGGTCGAAGCAGCACGATTGCTGTAGAGTCATTTGGGTCTATGATGGAGAGTTAAAATTTTGGGCAAACTAGATTAGATCTATGCACGATTCCCCACTGCAGTCACACTGATTGATTTTTCATTCATTGCAAGCTAAAGTGCTGACACACAGACTTAGACAGTCAGGTAGGGGCTCTGCAGTCAGCCAAGCCCTGGCAGGAATGTCCCTGCCATGCTCACAGGACAATTAGGCAAATGAAGAGCTGAACTAGAAAGGAAGGCACAGCTCTGATCTAAGTGAAAGGGGCAGAGGCACCCACGGCCTGTCCTTCTTCAAAAGACAGGAGAGGAAAGGACACCGCCCCCTAAAACTTTGTCATTTGAAGGAGCAAAAAGTAATATCAAGCAAGACAAACCTTTCATCCTTTGCAGTGTACTTTCTGTTCTGATGTAAAAGCTGAGGCAAACATCAAGAAGGACTTTCTTTTGCTCCCATGCACACAGCAGCCTTAAGAACACTGGCTATTTTTAAAACTGAAATTGCAGAGTTCTGCCTTCTCATACTAATTTGTTTTTTTCCAGGAAAGCCTGGCTCCCTGGAATACTTATATTAATGAGTTTCCTGTCTGTTCCTGGAGGTCCTTGAGGGAGAAGTATATTCTACTGCCTGATGCCCCCTCCCTCCACTCGCTTCTCCAGAACTCCCCAGGTCTTTCTGGGACTGAAAGCAAATCTCTCTGCAGTTCTACCACGGAGACTGCCAATGCCTTGATGCTATAGACTTAGTCTTTCATATTTGCTGTCATTTCTTCAATATGTCACAGGAGGAAGATGGTGGATATATAGCTCATTTATATTTAGTCTCTTCAAAAGTCTACCTGGTATACTAATCTTATTTTCAAAACATTGTTCCCCTGAGGGTTTTGTAACATATGTTTTTGTGCCAATGGCTTTGTCCATGAGATTAAAGCTAATAAAAGTTGCTCATTTCAACCTAAATTTGTACTTTAGGTGAACAATTAGAAGAGAGACAACTTTATGTCTGCAATTTTAATACTATTGAGGTAATTACACAAATATGAAACAATTATCAAACACTGTCTTAGGTATGTCGTGGTTCTGCTTACTCTAGGTGTCCCAGAGGGGAAAAGGTTGCATTGTGATATAGAAAACATAAACAACAAGAATTCAATTTCAACAACTAAAAAGGAAACACATTCTAGAAGAATGGTCAATGAACAAAGATAGAAAACTTGCTAGATTAATTTTCGTATCACTGTGATCACACATAATTTAATTCAAAGATTGCTGTAAATATACACATGATTAAAACTGTGATTTTACCAACTCAATTACCTAGTTACCTTAAATCGTTTTACCTAAAATCATACATGCATGTAAGATGTAGGTAGACATAATAGGTAGGTAGATATATAGGTAGGTACAGTTTGACTTTGGTGATAATTGAACACTATTAGGAAATAGGATACCCTATCTAAAGTAAGATTGTTTTTAAAAATTATTTTATTGCTATTCTCTTCTATTTATTTATTCATTTATTAATTTTTTAGACATGGCTTCTCTGTGTAGCCTTTGCTGTCCTGGAACTCATTATGTAGGCCATGCTGGCCTCAAACTCAGAGATCCACCTGCCTCTGCCAATGCTGGGATTAAAGGTGAGAGCCACCACCACCCATCCCAAAGTAAAATTCTAACATTTTGATATACACGTATACTAATATCAACATTCTGATACTAAAGTGATCAATTGCAGAATGTAGAACTGTTGGAATACAGCTAAATACCAAAAAAAAAAAAGTGTGGTTGGGGGAAGAACATAAAACTTATGACAAACAAGCACCCCCACCACACACTCACAGACACACACACTCACACACACACACACACACACACACACACACACACACACACACTCACACTGCTCAGTTACACAATGATAATGTTCCCTGAGAGAAACCCAGGATCGTTAAACTTCCCGGTCAGTGCACCCTTCTCCTTGTCACACTGCGTGGCCTTGTGAAGGCACAGGCCACTGATGTGCCTTCCAGAGTCTGTCTTGTGAAGGCACAGGCCACTGATGTGCCTTCCAGAGTCTGTCTTGCCCAGGCTGCAGTCCTTCCCTTCTCGTCACCTTCCCCTCTAGTCTGGCCATGCGAGTGTATGGTTTTGCTGCCTTGGTGTCCAACTGGTTGACAGGAAGAGGGCAAAGCCTAGAAATTAGAAACTGTGAACCCCTCCCACTCATCCTAGTCCATAGTTCTGTCTTTGGCTCTCCACCTGGAAACAGGAGTGAAGACAACTTTTCCCTGGTTGGGAAATAGTCCAGAAAAATAGCTATAGAAACCAATGTATTTTTAAAAAAATTATCAAATTGACGTAGCCTACTTGAAACTCGGTCACTTTTCATGAGGAAATAACCATAAGAAAAAATGTCAGAGGAAAGCTATTTATGTCTCGGGAGCAGCTATGGACTCCTCTAAGACTCTCTGATGTGAGCACCATGTCAAATGGTTACGATACCTGCAATACCAGGAGCTTGTGAGAATCACAGGCTCTGGACCCTTGAAAATGCACCAAGTCAGAAACTCAGGAGAGTGTTTGACTCTTCCCGACCCTGCAGCTCCGAGGCTAATATCTGAGGACTGGGGGGTTGGACTTGTGAGAGTCCCCAGTCTTTGTCACTAATGCTGTGACCTCATTTATTTCTCCAGCGTCTTTATTTTCCTTTATTTCTGTATTGTATTGTTTTTAAAATTAAAAAATATTGCTTTCAAACACCAGAAAGTGTACTTACATTTCTCAAACAGCAGGTAGACAAATGGTTATTTCCTGTTATATCTTCAAACAAACCCAATGGTTACTATACTTCTTAAAATGCAAGAAAAAACTTTATTCATTTAGACAGATTCAGTGACAAATGCTTAACAAAAAAATAAAATTGGCATAAAACACTAACTGCCTTTAATCCCAACACTGGGGAGGCAGAGGCAGGCGGATTTCTGTAAGTTCCAGGCAAGCCTGGTCTACAGAACCAGTTCCAGGACAGCCTCCAAAACAATACAGAGAGACCCTGTCTCGAAAATACAAAACAAACAAACAAACAAACAAACAAACAAACAAAAAACACTAACTGCCTCCATTTAATTTGTGTAAATTTCAAACAGCTGCCATTTTATGGAAATGCACTTCTTTTATCGTTTCTGCCCATCCCGAGATACGGTCCACTCACGATGTCACTCTGGGCTCTTTGCTCTCTCCAAGCATGCTGCATTTATAGGGTGTCCAGCAAGACAGACAGGGAAGAAACAGGCTAGAAAACGCAGAGAAAGTGCCTGGCACATTAACAGAGCTGGGCGAAAGGGAAGAAAAAGTCAGTCAAGGTGAGACGATGAGGAGAGCCGGGGAGGAGATAGTTAACAAATAGTGACTACTTGCTACATTGTCTCCAAGCTTGAGGAAATAAAACGCTGAAACTGAATCAATACTGCTTTGCACTTCCACATCCAAAGGCCAATGTCTCCTCAGCGTGCGTCTCCAATGGGAAGCTCAGCTACAAGTTTAAAATGGAGTTTCCAATATAAAGGTCCAACAGCTATGCAGATAAAGGATCCAGCGGCAGGAAGGGGAAGGAGAAACGGTGTGCAGATTCTTCCCTGCTCCCAACTCCTGGCAGTCCTGACTATTATCGTTATTATTATTAAGCCGTGATCCTAAGCAGGCCTCAAGCTGCTAGTAGCTGAGGATGACCCTGAACTCCTGGACTTCCCGTCTCCACCTCCCTGCTAGGAATACTGGCTGCACCACCTAACTCAGTTTTGTGTAGTTTCAGAGCCGGGGTTTCTGTGCTTGTTTCTGTGCATGTTCGGCAAGTGATCTACCAGCTGAACTATTTCTCAACTCCTCCTAATCTTTATTTTACTTTATGCTGTAGGATGCTATTTTTACGAGACACAGATGTGTTACATTTGTCAATGCTGTAGCTAGGTGAAGATGTTCAGCACTTGCATTAATTAAGTAAAATTAACCTGGACTCAGAGAGGTGGGGTTAGCAACTGGTTGACAGGAAGTAGTAGGGAGGAGCATAGCCTGGGGTTTTTTTTCATTGTTGCTGTTTGTTTGTTTTTAAGTTGGGCTGTGTGGGAGTGACTTCCGGGAACATCAGCAAAGAGAGAAAGTTAGCAGTTGCTATTTTGACTCTCTGAGCTCGCATGTTTTCATCTCAGCCTTTGAATCTAGAGTTTTATTAGAACAATATTTAGTTAGAACTACCTTTAGCAGCAGCAAAGCCGCTCTCTGGGGGAATAGAATTCCCCTAGGTTACGGCCTTAGCGGCTGGGCCACTAATAGTTTAAAGCAAAGCCACTGTGATGAAGGTAAAACAATAATTTTATTTATATGTAATACTATATTTGAGAATTACAGTTCTTTGAGATTATAATATAACATTTCTCCTTTCACTT